GCTGTTTCGACGGGGTCGGACCAAAGGGAAAGGGGTGTTAGATGGGTGGGGTTGGTTGGGCATGCAAAGAGGTGGTCAGTGTCATGCGGAGACTCATTGCATGCAGGTCATCTAATGGTAGGCCCAGGRAACGTGCTGTTTCGATGGAGTCAGACCATAGGGAGAGGTGTGTCAGATRTGTAGGACTAGCTGGGCATGCAGATGGTTAGGGTCATGTGGGGACTCGTTGCTTTCTGGACTTACATATATGTCGGGGTCGATTCTGTATAAGGCGGAGTTTGGTCGGACCAAAGGGAAAGGGGTGTTAGATGAGTAGTGTTGGCAGGGCATGCAAAGAGCTGGCCAGTGTTCAATTCCCACGATAGCCGGTTCTACGCACTGGAATTAACCCCGTTTTATTGGGCTAAGGGCTGTTTTTTCGTCGATCTAACCCCGTTTGGATCGGTAAGTGTTAATCGGGTTTGTCGGGGGGTCTATGGTTGATTTAGGGAGTGAAATAGTGGCGTGTAGGTGGTACTTGTTGTAGCTATAGTACCAACAGGAACGATTGCCGCACTGTGGTGTTATTTGGCAGCGTACGAYACTCTCTACTCACATTTAGTGTGCACTTGACTGATGTGACATTCAGCCGTACTGGCATGGTGCCACTACCTGTGCATTAAAGCCTAAACAGGTTTTAAGTTGGGTTCATCCATTGCATGTATTACACCCTATGTTAGGATGAAGCCTTTTAGCGCAAACGCAGCAGAAAAATTCMTCYRGACTCAGGTTGGACTCAATCCAATCATGACAGTCTTAACCTAAAACTCACCGATCCAAACAGGGTTAGATCGCCGAAATAACAGCCCTTGGCCCGATAGAATCCGTGTCGATTCCGGTTATGCCGAAGCATTAATGCTTYAGACGGCATCTAATAATATCAGAATATGTTTTCTTTTGGTAAAGTATTTTCACACAAGATATAATTCCATTTTTAATTTTGTGTAAAAATTAGTTTAATGTTTTTTTTATTGTTAAACATACATAAGTAATAATACGCCGTTACAATTTTAGGTGTACGTTTCTTTTTTATAGAGGGATATGCAAATGTTGCCTTGATCAAGTAGCAAGCAAGTTCGAACATATTAAAGAGCTACATACATTGCGCATCTATAACAATACAATTAAATATAGTACATGAATATACATATATAAATGGTAATTCAGTAAAAATTCTCGAATTGGCAACATATGTTCATATACTTGTGGAATACTTATGGTTTGATATAAATATTTACTTTTTAATTTTATTTTACTTTTGTTTTTAACTTCTTTGTTAATAAGCAATTCGCATTAATTGTTATGGAAACAGGTAGGCTTGTAAAGGGAATTATAAATGTTTTCAATATATATATTACTTTTAATTACTTAAATGCAGGCCACTATTACATATATCAACGGCACTTTCACCTAACCATTCATGACCATACGCACAAACTCTTCATAATTCACATTGCCCTGTGTATCTTCTTGGTTGGTCATTAGTTGCTCGACCTCTTCATCGGTCAGTTTTTCACCCAAAGTGGTTAGTAAATGTCGCAATTCAGCTGATGAAATGAAACCGCTAGCATCCTTATCGAAATGGCGCAGACCTTCGATGAAATCGTCGGCAGTGTCACCAGAACGCGCCTTCGAAATCGCTTGGTAGATGGGTAGGAAAACTTCGAAGCTAATGCGTTCATCCGGCTTCAATTGATGTGTGCACTTCTTCACATCCGATTCGGTGGGGTTTTGACCGAGCGCACGCAAGCACTCACCCACTTGACTCAATTGAATTTTGCCATCACCACGATTGTCGAAGAGATTGAAGGCTTCTTGGAATTCTGCAAACAAAAAATACAAAATTTGCTTTTATAATWTAATTTAAATATAAAAAAATTATGAAGGAAAAAACCTTCCACAGTGGTAAACGAGTTTTTAGTTGGCGGCTCGTAGATGTACATTGTAAATAGTTGCAACAAGGAACAAAGGAACAACACACAAATTAACTGCTATATAGTAAATCGATTTGTTATGTATAATCAATAAAACTTTGCAATATTTACGCAATGTGTTGCATGATACGCGCAACCGACGACTGAATTGCGCAAAAGTGGTTTAGTGATGTGCCACCGCAAAAACATTGAAGGTGAACTTGCGTGCTTGTATAGGGACTGACTGTTGATGAATGCACAGAATAAAAGTAACAAAAATAAATTCTTATAGTATATGTATATGTATATATTATTTGGAAAAACAATACTTTTTTTTTATTTATGTGTGCGCTTTCATATGTCAGAGCTTGGCTTTAAGTGTACATATAAACACCCTGTATTGGTATTTACTACCAATGTAGTTTTGAAATTTCATCCTTATATGGTAAAACATGTTTTTTCAAAGTGCAATGCCTTTTTAGTTGCAACTGCACCCATTTATCCCCACAACTGTCGTCATTAATGTTGTAACTGCCTTAATGGTTTGCCAAAAAAATCGGAAGAGAAACTTGTAAAGATAATAAAGCGTCTAAATCTGATTTTAAATATAATTAAAAATATTTTGAATCAAATTTATTAGAATTTTTAGAATGGTATATATGTACACACACTAGTTGAAAATACGATTTAAGAAGAAAAACTGTATTTAATAGATCATTAGTTTGATAACTAAATTTGAGAATTTCCTGATACTAATCTTTTGTGTATTTCCACTACTATTTTATTATCTAACTTATACAAGTATTTTTATAACTTACAGTCTGCAGTTTTAATCGGCCAAAAAATATGGGCTAAATCGCACATTTGAAAAATACAATAAACCAGAACCTTAACCGCAGCATAAATCAATGTATAAAGATGTAGCCACATATACATATATATTTCATTTAATTTTTTCATATTTTCATAATTTGTACGCAAKCTAATAAATGTTATTTGGCCAACAATGCGTAGCTGCGTACAAATCGTTAATATTGACCATAAAATGAACGAACGTACACAGCGTTTAAAATTTGCCAAATATGGTAAAGAAACTGCCATACCTCGACATAAATAATTTAACGCTGATATAAATAGGCAGTTTGCAGCAATTCAATTTCATTTTGACTTTAGCAGTATACGTAGAATGCTAAAAGTTCTTYAACACACACTAATAAATTATAACTTCTTCCAGCGGACCGAAATAAGTTTTATGTCAAAGCAGCTGTACTGCATGTACTTGTGTAGCATAGTAGTGATCACAACTTTATACAAATTCTTCATACACTTAAGCCAATAATCGCAAAATGGTGTATATTTATTGATGGAGTCATCGTTTGCATTTATTGTCGCACGAACGCTACGTCAATTACCGTAGTGATATCTTTTCATTTTTTTTTTTTTTGTTTATTTTGTGCTTTTTAAGTACTTTGGTATGTAAAACGGTTACTCGATCAAGGTACAATGAGTCATCTGCTTGCCGCAAGAAATATGTGGACCGAGAAACAGTGACTATCATCTTAATTTATATATGCTCAGAAAATTGTAATGCTCTATTAATGTTATAATAATGGTTGAAGGGTGTTTACAATTAATACCTTCAGCAAAGTACACATTCAATGCTTGAAACACACCCACTGCTTTTCCGTACAATCTACATTCTAATATTTACCACAGGCCCTTGTTTTCGTGTTTTACTTACCGGCTAATTGATCTTCGCTGAAGTTTGTCTGCAAAGAAATTATAATATATTAAATAGAATTAACTTTAGCCGCTTTTAAATTTACCATTTTCGTTAATATTTTACTGAAGAAATTGGAAAGTTTAACAAAATTATAGAAAATTTATACACGTCAAAACGACTTCAAGTTCTTTTTTGGAATGTGTCAGCAACTGACTGGTGAAGTCGTTGCCAGCTTATGAAGAGAATGTAGCTGCCACTTAATTAGGAATAATAAAATAAAATTAATTTATGCGACAAAAGATGCATTTTTAACCCGGGCGTTAAGTGCTAAAAAATTGCTTTCAAATTGCCATACTCTCTTACTTTTCACTACGTCACTTACACTTTTCGAACTTGAGCATACTCTTAACATCAATTTTTCTAGTCAACTCGGGCAAGTTTACGATCGAATTAAAACAGCTGATGACATTGTTTTGCAAACAAATGACTTGCAATTGTTAGTAATATGAATATTTCGTTACATATTTATAGATTGATAGCAAAATATAAGTGTGTCAATCCATAGTATTATTGAATTCGTTCAMAATTTTCAAGAGTTTAAAGGGGTTAACATAACGATGACATCTTGAAACTATCATATTATTGATTATCAAATTGCTTGCAGCTTACGATACGGGTTTCAATTTTGATAAGTAGCTCGTGTGACTTGAAAGGATGATCTTAATCGTGTAACTGCAGCGTAAGAATATATTTGCAAACACATTGTTAATTATCAGTRGACATGAACGAAGGTTTAATTTTTCTTTACTGAAATTTTTGAGTTAACAAGTATTTTGCTATAAACGAACACATTCATGACACGTTGTCATTTCATTATAATGGCATATCCCACAAAAAGTGTTGAACGATACTTTAACGCATTAACGAAGACACTGCATTCCTATATAAAGCGGCAACTTTACGTCAAATTTCACTTAAATTCTGGAATTAGTACAAAAGAAATAAAAAACAAAACAAATTTATTTATTAATACTACTTTCAATAATTTTTACTAACATTAAACATGAAGCAGTAAATAATGCGTCAAGAAATGTTTAAGAAAAATTTTTCCTTAACGCCCTGTCAAAATTGGATCTTTCAACTCTCTGCCTTTCCACTGTCTTTATTTATGTAAGCGCCCTAAAAAATCTATGGACATTGGGAAGTTTGTACCGTAATTTACTTTAATTTTAAGAAGACAGTTAGTTGAATGAAAGCATACTTCTAATTTTTCTGACAAAACAAATATCTGACCGGTGGCATTATAGAATAACGTTGGTTTTATAGAATAACGTTGAGAACTCAAAAAGTTTTTAAATTCAATTAACGTTCTGTTAGAGACGTAATTAAACTTTACGTCACTGACGTATTGCTCGTTAAACAACCCAAATTTTGTTCAGCACATACAACCCTGAATGGAGTTAACGGAAAGAGAAATAAATATGTAAAACAAAACGGAATCCTCCAAAAATATTTGCAACAAGAAAAATAAAGGAAATAAAGAGAACTAAAAAGAAAACAAAATAAAATTGCAAGCAGCTGTGAGCGGACAAACAAGTCATTCGTCCAGGAACAAATGCAATACGAACAACTACGCATAACGACTTCATGAATACCAGAAACTGCTTTTAACATAGTGCATTCGTGTTTGTTTGTGCTTCTGTGCGAAAATTCCGCGTTCGTATATATTCTGTAGTTCTGTATTTCGTCGGACAACTTTCAATTGGAAGACAYAAGATAAAGCAAAAGAAAATGACAAAAACAAAGAAGTAGCGGAATTTTGTATTTTGTTCACCGCAATTGCTTGGTCGCTTGGTTCAGTTCGAAAGCTATTCAATTCGCTGTCAGTCGTCGTCGACAACAATCGTTCATTATTCGTTATACAAGCTCCGCAATAATTCTGCGCGCAGAAGATYAGCAGGGAGTTGAATATAATCGAATAACTGCATATAAAATATCTAATCTAATTSGAAAAATTTTCTTGAAAATTCTTTGGAAAGAATATTTGCTGTTAAACGGTAATGTGTCAATGTTCTCACAATATGTTAGTGTGTGTAGAAGTTAATGAAAATTCGATGAAAAGTATTAAATCGAATAGAGCTTTTGTAGCAAAGGAAAATTTAGAAGCGCAAATTGGCCAAATATATTGACGCGAATGTGTTAATTGCGTTCGTAAGTGTGTGTTTTTGTGTGCGTACTTCCAATTCGAGTATACTTGTGTATGTGTGCATTGCAGTCGATTTTTATTGCTGAACGGATCTTARCAGCAGAAAAATAAAAGTTACGGAAGTGCAAAAAAATATATGTATTTATTTAAAAGTATTTTTTAAATAAAAGTTTGTGAAAATTCATCACTGTATAAAATTGGCATTGGAAGAGTTTGACGCTGCTGTGGTCAGGAAAGAAAAGTGCAATAACAAAGATTGTAAGTCAGTGGAGTGCAGGAAAATCAATCAAGAATTTTCAGTGTATTTTATATATAATGCAGTAATTTAAACGCAATGTAAAATAGCATATAAGAGCAGATAATATTGCAATGATATGAAAGTAATTAAGTTTGTGAATAATCAAGCAGAAAAACAATTCAATTCGATGATAACAAAGAGCATAAAGTTGAATATTCTTTAATTTTGCATATTCTGCTGTTCGCATTTAACAGCTGATAAAAATTAATAAGTGGTGACAGCAAATAAATAAATAAAAAACTGTCCTAATGTGAAAATCTTATCATATTTTCATAGGACTACTGCAAATCTATCTAGTGCGACAAAGGGCGACTTAAAATTGCARCTAAAAAGTACATTCTGATAGGTACATTTATAGATATTGGAATGCAACTTTTCAATTGCAACTTTCCATCGAAAGCAGTCCAATAAGAGTCTAGTGCAGGTCATAGATTAATAAAAACTTACGTAAATATACAAATGACTGATACGGAAAGGTCGTCACGGTAAATTTTTTAACTACGCATTTTGCATGAGAGAAAGCAGTGAAACAAAACAAAGAAAGATAAAGGCAAAGAAAAGTGGCCTGAAATCTCATAACACAGCTATCGTGTGACAAGTATTGTATTTGTAATTAATTGCTTTCTGCTCAAAAAGCCTATTTAGTTGCAAAAGCGTTTTATCTGCTGTTTAAAATACCGAAAAAAAATATATATATATATATGAATAACACAAACTTAAATATTTTTTTGTTTGACAACGAGTTGATAACGTCAATTGTTATCACAGTGTAATATTCGCCGTGATATTGTGCCATACTGGTGGTGGCTTCGTGCTTATTTTATATGATTAGGTAGCAATAACTCCACAGTGACAACTACAATTTAAACATAAAGTTGCAAAGATGACTAACAATGCTACCAACTCCACATCTCGATTTCG